ATAATATTTAATATATGTATATAGTATATACAATCTCCGTCGAAGTAATATCATATATAATATCATATAATATCATATCTAATATTTGTACTCTTACTGGCCCTGCTTAAAGTGTATCATAAAATTCAACCAATGCTTCTGCAGACATGCGGCTTTGATTGTATTTATGCGCTCGGCATCCGTATTCAAATTCAATTGTTGTTGTATATTTTGGCTAATACTCAATTCAAGGTTTTTCGTTCCCACATGGAAATGCGCGACAAAACAAATGCTTGAGTGGAGAAGGGTTTTGGGTGGGGCGCGGATGCGGGAGGCTGACCGCCAGCTCTTCGGCGCGACGCTGAGTCTAACAATTTCGCATTTTCAATTTCAGGGCCAACAACAAGTGCGGCCGTCAATGGCAACAGCTGTGTGCAGAGCAGCTGATATACCCTGTAAATGGCAACGGAATGACTGAACGGGCATATAAGAAATATTTTGGGGATTGCAACAGTGAAATCAGTAGGGTATCTTCTAACATATATGCTCATACTTATATGTATTTAACTTCGTAGATTTTATACAGCATATGTAGTGGGTACTTTTAGAGGGTAGCTTGTGGTCTGGCAATGAGGCCCAAGGCTGAGCACGCTCGTTGTTAATGTTAACTCAGTGGTCGATTGTCGATAGCTGGTAATGAACTGAAATGACAAGCACAAATGCGCTTGTCGAGCAGAGGGGGCTGTGGGTGGGTGGGTACCTGTGGGTGCTGTCGGTGGGTTGAGTGGGCGGCAACTCCAACCAGTCATCAACAAGTTGTGCGAGAGTTGCGCCGCAACTGCCGCGCTTCCCATGACCTTAGTGAGAAAGCGGGAAACGGAATTGCTTTGGTACTATGACAACCCAACCCAGCGAAGCCCACCGAACCCAAACCAATCCAGCGCCATTGCCGCTCTGGCGGTGCACTTGTTTTGGCTATTGATATTTTTGTTATTGGTCAGTGGTTAGGTTGATTTGTTTTCAATGGAATTTGAGTGGCATGCCACGTGCTAGGCAACGAGACGCAACCCAATCTAAGCTCAACTTTCAGCTAGCACGCAATATGTTTTCATAAACATAAGCAGGTCAACAACCCAATGCCAGATAGCATCGTAAATTATTACACAGACCCATCCACTGTGCCATCCCTTCAAAAGAGACAGCAGGGAGACAAGTTTTCCAATTCAATGTCTATGCCAAGGTCCCATTGACGGTGACTCTGAACAACTGCTCGCTTGCCAAGGTGTTGCCAGCAATCTCTAGGGGTATTCACGAGGCAAAAAGCATTAAACCAAAATATTTAATATTACCAATGGGTGCTGCAAGTAAATGCCGATGATTATAAATATTGT